CATGTTCCAAATAAGGTGAGGCATCCGTGCTTGGTGGCACTTTCCAGGTAAGCCAGGAAGAGAGCAGGAGGCCCCCTGCTGAAAAGGGGAGTCCTTCCATTTGGCACCGAGCCCCTTAGGGCTATCCGGACATGGAGAACTACAACCCTAACAGCAGAGTTTCCCAACAGAACTGGAGTTACAGATGGTTGTTAGCTGACGTGAAGGTACTAGGAATTGAACCCAGGTGCTCTGTAAGAGCAGCCTGTGCTTAACCACTGAGCCATCTCTTTAGCCCCTATCTCTTGAAATTTTGTAGCACAGGTGGTAGTTAGAAGGACCTAGAGTCCTTTTGCTCTAGCTTGAAGGAATATGTTGTGGGTTTTTTTTTTTTTTTTTCTCAGTTGATTAAATGACCTAGGTTTTCATCCCCTTAGGCCCAGTGTGGAAAGATTCTGTGACCTATACTGATTTTTTAGTTATCATGTTTTTAATTTCCTTATACTTTTCCATGTATCTCTTTAGTAGAGATGACTCATAAAGTTGCATTTTTATAGAATACCCAATATTTATTTTATAAAGTGATAAACATGTTTCCCAAAAAAGTAGCTCTTAGATTTAGAGGAACTAATGGGAGCCATTTGTGCAACCATCAATCCAGAGGATTGAGGATCATAGGTACAATAAAAATTTTGTACAATGGGCCAAATTTTAGAAATAAATTTAAATTTTTTCATTAAAATAATCTTCATGATTACTATGTAATTTTGCAGTAACACCCAACTAGGAATAATTCTTAATAGAATTTTTCCTATTTCTAAGGCAGTGGCTTGTCAACAAAGGCTTTACCCAATGGTAAAACACAAAAACTTGGCATTTGGATAAAATCCAGCCACCAAAATTTATCTAGTAAAAAGATAAAACAGAAAACAATCCTTGTTCAGTGGTGAGTGGATAAAATCCAACCACCAAAATGTAAATGGTTCATTCAGTAAAAAGATAAAACATAAAACAATCCTTGTTCAGTGCTGAGTGGATAAAATCTAACCACCAAAATGTAAATGGTTCATTCAGTAAAAAGATAAAACATAAAACAATCCTTGTTCAGTGCTGAGTGTGGTGGCACATACCTTTCATCCCAACACTGGGGAGGCAGAGGCAGGTGGAGCTCTGTGAGCGCCAGGTCAGCCAGGGCTACATAGTGAGACCATGTCTTAACAAAACAGACAAAACTTTGTTCTCTGAGTCAGTTTTTCTGTAAATGTTACTGACAGTTCAATTTTTTTTTATTATTTTTATTTTGTGTGTATGAGTGTATTGCCTGCATGTATGTGAGTGCACCCGTGTCGTGCAATGCCACAGAGGTCAGAAGAGGGCTTAGGATTCCCCTGGAATTGGAGTTAAGGATGGTTTGTAGCCACCATGTGGGTGCTGGAATTGAACCTGGGTCTTCTGCAAGAGTAGTCAGTGCTCTTAACCGCTGAGCCATCTCTCCAGCCCCAACAGTTCAATATTTTTAAAAATATTTTATTATTTTTATTTTATGTGTGTGAGTGTGTTGCCAGAATGTATGTGAGTGCATCCTGCCATGCAGTGCCACAGAGGTCAGAAGAGGGCATTGGATTCCCCTGGAACTGGAGTTAAGGACAGTTTGTAGCTGCCATGTGGGTGCTGGGAATCGAACCCGGGTCCTCTGCAAGAGCAGCCAGTGCTCTCAACCACTAAGCCATCTCTCCAGCCCCCTGAGTAGATTAATATTTTAAGAAAATACTGTAAACAGGCACCAGTTCATCAGGGTATTGAATTTTGACCTTTGGAATTTTAATAGCCTTTAATTATAGTTAAGGTAGTTACACGCTTACTAGCTTTAAGTTTTAACTTTGACATGTTTTTATAATATACGTTAACCTTCTATAATAGCTTTGTCCTCATCTTTAATTTTTCATTTTGAAACAATCCTTTATCTTAGAACAAATCTTATCTTACCACACAAGCCCTTCAATGTCAGCAGTATTTAGCAACCCAGAATATCTGCAAGTAACTGAAATCCATAATCATCAGCCTTGTTGATTTTTTTTTTAGTTTTTATGACAGCATAAGTGAAATTAATGGAGAAAGCTTTGACAGAATTCTTAAAGATTAGAGAAAGATGATCGTTGGGTGGTAGACAGCCAGCAACACCCGTCACAACAGATGTCATACAGAAAGCAGATTATCTAAGCAGCCTCCTCCAATTGCCTTCATCTCCAACAGTTCCCATCATGCTTTAGAGAATGTTCTTTTCGGAACAAATCACAGGTATAATCAAAGTATATCATTTGCTATTCCCAATTTAGGTAATCTAGCCAGCAAGAGTACAAAGTATCTTCGGTGGCAAATTTTCTCAGAGTTATTCCAGAGTTACTAAAGAGCAAACGGTACTGACATTTTTTGACAAGGATGGAGTCATGAAAAAGCTGGGTGATTTACTGGGTTTGTAGTGAATTTCAGGAGAAAGCATGTGCAGGCAGTGTGTGCAGGTGTAGAAAATGGTGAGGGGGCTGTTGAATCTTGTCAGGCAGAAGTAAACAAATTAAGAAGACAAATGGGCTGCGGAGATTGCTCAATGGTTAAGAACACTAGTTATTTGTTTGTTTTTCTAGTGTTTAATAAAAACTTCTTTACAAATTAAGTCATTTCCAACGTAGATCTGTACTGACTTCATAAAAGTGTAGACAACATAACCAGACACAGCAAAACAGACTTTAATCAGTAGTACTTGCACACAAGAGGCATGCTAAGTGTATAGCACACTCTTCATCCTTTAAGGAATTGAGGGTAGAAACTTCCAGTTCTTAACAATTAAGAGTGAGTGCCTTTTAAAAAGCAATGCTAAACCTGGCATGGGGCACTATCATGTTGGGGTGGGGGCAACAAAAGAGATCATTTATTTCTCTTCACTAATTATCTGTATTTTGATGAGCAGTTCAAAGATGACAGCCCAAATTTTGACTTTGCTCCCTAAGGTTCTGTGTAAGACATAAGAATTTCTTCTTTCATCATTATAGAAGATTCATACTTAACACAACTTAAATATATTATTTTCCAACCAATGCACATTAGGATACGTCACATTTTGAGCATGAGACAAAATGCAAATCTATAAAACCTGCAAGGAAAGGGTTCCTGTGGCTGGCGGAGCATGGTGATACATGCCTGTAATCCCAGCATTTGGGAGGCTGAGGTAGAAAGATTGTCATGAGTTTGCTGGCTTGGACTACACATTGACTGCCAGGCCATCAAGGGTTGCATAACTAAGACCCTGTCTTCAAAAGAAAAAGGGAAAGAAAGGGCAGGGCAAAATGGAAAGGAAAGGAAAAAGAAAAGATACTAAGAAACATTTGCTGTGTTGGGCCAAATCTCTGGTTGAATTGTAGTGGCTTGGAAGGGGTAGAAAGTACACAAAGAACTTTCTATTAGTAAGCAAGAAAAGGCAGCTAAAAGGAGAAAGCCCTTCAAACCAACACCATATCTTTCTCTCCTAGGGGCCAGTTCTTACTGATTTTACAGTTTAGGAGAACCTTAGCTGCTTTAGTAGCAATTCTTTTCTTGGTGGTTTTGATCTTCAGCAAAATATACAATTAAACGTATTACAAGAGTAGAAAGGAATGAGAGGATCAACAGGAACACTGGTTATTTTTTGCAGAGGAACCAGGTTCAAACCCAGCACCCACATGGCTGCTAACAACCGTAACTCCAGATCCAGAGCATCCAATGCCCTCTGCTGACCTACTCTGGCACTTGCACAACACAGGTGCACTTACATCCATACAGGCAATACACTCATACACATAAAAATAATAAAATATTTTAAAAAATAGAAGATAAATGACTCAGAGGAAGAGTGAAGACAAAGACTTTCAGGAGGCAATGTTAGGCAGATGATGGCATTTGAAAGTTTGGACCCAGTGTACACTTGGAGACACAGCGTCCTCTGAACCTGCTCCCTCTTTTCTGATTTTTCACCCAACCAAGGAGGCACTCTGAGCCATCCCAGCATGGAAAGAAGTGTCCTTGTGCCTTGACTTCAAGCCCTTGCGAGGCCCTTCCAACTATGGTTCCACCAGTGCTGGACTGAAGTATCCTGGAAGTGGAGCAGACATTCCTTCCCCAAAAGCATTATGATGGGATGGAGAGATGGTTCAGCAGTTAACAGCACTGAGCGTTCTTGCAGAGGGCCTGATCTCAGTTCCCAGAACCCACATAGCGGCTGGCTAACAACTGTCTGTAACTCCAGTTTCAGGGGCTTCAATGACCCCCTTTGGGGGCATTGCATGACATGGATGCACTTAAATACTTTCAGGCAATACACTTTTACACATAAAATCAAAAGAAAAAAAAGCATTGTCAAAAACATTGGATTTACACCAAAATAGAGATAATACCTGTGAGTTCACAGCACTATTTTCAGCAGGGAGAGAACAAAAGGAGCAACATCAGTTGGGGGAGGTTATCACTGTAACTCTGGGAAGAAATGGCCATGCTGAGGTGAAGAGACATGGGAAGTTCTGAATGTAATTCTCTATGTGGTGCCTATAGGATTTGCTGGGCGTAGATCACAGGAATCAGCGGGTGTCAACGGGACTTCCATCTCTGACGAGAGCAACGGGAAGAACAGAGTTTCTGTTGAGATGGAGACTGTAGGAGAAAGATTTGGGAAGGTCAGAAGCACTGTTTTGTGTGGTGCCAAGTTTGAGATGCCGCTAAGATGTCCAATGCAGACATTTGGTGTACTTTTTCCATTTAAATTTTGCTATAAACGTTTCTTTAAATTGTTATTCTGGTTAAACAGTGTTTAAGTTTGCTTTTTCGTAGCGGTAATTTTTTTTTTCTGAGAAAGAAACCCGCCCACCTTGTAATGCCACTTTCTTGGCACAACTACATAACTGCAGTTCCCCTCCAGAGCCGTAGAGGGCGCGCGCTCCCAGCGCTCGGCCGAGGCTCCGCTCCCTGTGTTTCCCTCACTCCGCCCTAGCGACCTTGCCCCGGAAGTGCTCTTCCAGCCCAGCTTGCCGGCCTGACTTTGAGCGCTTCCCTCTGCTGCGTGGGCGTTGAGCGGCGCAGAATCGCAGAGTTGGCGGTTTCAGGCTTGCAATGAGGCTGCTGCGGGTCGCCGCGGGCCTGGGGCGCGGGCCGCTCCCCGTTCCCGTCATCCTGGGCTGGCGGGGGAAGCAGGTAGTGGCTCCTGACGAGGCCGAACCAGCCACTCCTAAACGGGGGAGGTGGCGGCCCCTTCCCTATACTGGGACCCACGTGAGCGGCGCTGTCACGGCCCAGCAGCTCCGGTCCCGCACGCCAGCTCGGCATTGGGAACCTCAGCTCTGGATGTGGGAGTCAGTCGTCTGTTGATGGTTATGGTCTACCGTCCAGGGAAGTGACCCGAGTGAAGGTCACGCTGATGAGAACTTAGTGTCCCTGGGCCTCGAATCCCGGACTCCTTCCTTATCCAGTGCTCTTTTAACCAAGCATGTTGTTGCATATGCTGGTCCTGCACTATTTGATTTGGCGCTCAACTTCCTGGTGCTCTTCTCTGGTCATGTTTCCCTATCTGGTGACTTAGAAGATTCAACTATGTAAACCTTTGCAGGAGGGGGCGCAGAGTTGAGAAGCGTTAGGCCGATGGTGCAGCCTTTCCCCTGGAGCCCCCATTTGTTTTGTTCTCTGGTAATTCCGGGGTTTAATCATCTACGCACTTGTCTCCTGTCTGCCTTTCCATTTTGGTTCATTTCCCTCTACCTAAAAGTGTTTGCAAAGCACTTAAATGTGCAGTTTGCAGGGAGATGTTTATGTTGTGTTCTCATTATATAAAATGCACCTCCCTACCCACAGTAAAGTTAACAGGATCAACAAAAAAGCTTCATTAATTGTGTTTGTGTAGGTGAAATTGGAAATCTTTGGAGGGAGTGGTTTGGAACACTTGTTAGATTGTGTAGAGCACGTAAGTCCTCATATACTCTTGCTTCATGGCAACTAAGGTATAATTGAAGCTAAAAGTTGTACTTCCTATCAAAGTGGTTCTTGGTGTATAGTTCTAATTTTACAATAGTTTAGATATTTGGCAATGTCAAATAATTTAATAATTAATTTAATAATTTTGAGTGGTACTGGGGATTAAATCAGAGTTCTGTATATGCTGTCTTATGTGCATTGATGTGTGCCAAGGAAAAATGTCCACATGTCCTAGTTTGCTATGATTAAAAACCATCATCAGAAACAAAGGAGAATAAAGGGTTTATTTGGCTTACAGGTTACAGTTCATCAGGGAAACCAAGGCAGGAACTCACTCAGAGATGGTGGAAGAATACTGCTTACTGGCTTGCATCCTCTGTTTTGCTCAGCTACCTTTCTTAGACAGCCCAGGCCCTTCTGCCTAGGGATGGTACTGCCCACAGTGGGCTGGGCCCTCCTACATCAATTAACAAACAAGAAAGTGCCCCACAGACAGGCCCACAGGCCAGTCTGAGAGAGGAAATTCCTCCATTGAGGTTCCCTCTTGGCTATGTGTGTCAGGTTGACAAGATTACCCATAATACACTATTGTCCCATTTTAATGGTTCTTTTTTGAAAAGTGGTAATTGCACTTTTTTTTTTTTTTTTAAGGCTAAGTGGAAGGCCTGCCGATGGTATTCATCTGGGATAATTCCTAATGAAAAAATACGAAATATTGGAATCTCAGCTCACATTGATTCTGGGAAAACTACGTTAACAGAACGAGTGCTTTATTACACTGGCCGGATTGCAACGATGCATGAGGTGTGTGGTTGATTCCAGAATTGTGAGAGCTTGAATTTAATTGTTTTATAGTTAGGATTTTATAAAGTTCAGAAAACCTTGTTTAAAGGTAGAAAGAATGGTCATAGTTGATTTTTAACCAAAGTCAGATACACAAAGGGGATAACTCAGGTTGGCTTGAACTATTATTGTGAGTAATCTGTCTCTACACTGTGTGTATCTTGAGTAAATGTTAAATCAGTGTCATGGACTCTTACACACTTGTTAGAATAGCTTTGACATCATTTTAGTGGTGAATAAATGTTTATAATGTTAAAGGGAAAGTAGATTTAAAAGGATATTGAGTATAAATTCTCTAGTTAAAAAATACTTGTCAGAAAAATATTATTAAAAATATTAATTTCTCGAAGATACTGCCTTAACGGCAAGTAGTGTAACTTTCCAGTTTAAACTGTTCAGGTGAAGAGCTTCTTTTAAAGTATATAAATTATAACCTTTTGTGCCTCAGAATCCACACAGGACAGAACTGGGAAAAATTTGTTCTCTGAGCTTCAGTTTATGGACAACTGCATGGCTGGCAGTCAGGACCAGTACAGAGGGAACCAGGCTGATTGACTGCCCTAAATCCTGTGTGGTTGTGAAGAAGGAAAGGAAATTTGGTAGTTGAGCCAGCACAAACCTGTCATCAGTTACCTATTTTATGAAATGATTTAGTTGTAGAACTAGGCTTATCTGAAAATTGTGTAAGTTAACTTTTATTTCCCAGTTTCATTTCAGTAAAGCTTTCTTAGGATGAAGAGACAGAAGAGTCTGTTATGCTTACATTTAGGTGAAAGGTAAAGATGGAGTTGGTGCTGTCATGGATTCCATGGAACTCGAAAGACAAAGAGGAATCACTATTCAGTCAGCAGCCACCTATACCATGTGGAAAGACATCAATATAAACATTATAGATACTCCAGGTCAGCAGGGGTATTGTGCGGTCTTTTGGCAAAACTATATTTAGTTCTTTCTTCTATGGCCTATCTTTGAGAATCAGTTTTTAAAAGCACAGCACTGAATTTCTATTGATTTGGGATTCAGGGCACTTTGTGTGACTTCTTTGAAAAATAATGTGATAAGAAGCCTTCTTGCCTTTTATATTTTCCAGCTCATTCCACCGCTTCCTGTGCTCTGTCACTTCTAGAAGTGATTTTGTTGAGCCTTGGACCTGATGGGTTTAATGAAATTGGTGAACTGAGGAACCTACATTATAGTTCACTGATGTGTAATGAGCAGAGATAGAGAACATTCACTATTGTGCGGATTGAAAATTCAGGCTGCTCTTTAAACCCTCTCGTGTTGCTTTGTCTCCTCTAGGCCATGTGGACTTCACCATAGAAGTGGAAAGAGCCCTTCGTGTGTTGGATGGTGCAGTCCTTGTTCTCTGTGCTGTGGGTGGGGTACAGTGCCAGACCATGACTGTCAATCGGCAGATGAAGCGCTACAACGTTCCATTTTTAACCTTCATTAACAAACTTGACCGTATGGGCTCCAACCCAGCCAGGGCCCTGCAGCAGATGAGGTACTGAGCCTCAGGGTGGAGGGCATTCTCACCTGGACAGCAGGCCTTATATCTAGGAAGACAGTTAATTCAGTGTTGATACATTTTAGCCTTAAGGTTTTTTTTTGTTGTTGTTTGAAAAGGGGGTTTCTTTGAGTTTTGTAAGTGGAGTGCTGTGCTGGATAGCTTTAGTGTCAACTTGACACACCTGGGTTGAGGGAGCCTTAGTTGGGGAATTGCCTCTATTGGACTGGCCTGTGGCCATGTCTGAGTGGCATCTTCTTGATGAGTGATGTGGGAGGGCCCAGCCTACTGTGGGTGGTGCCACGTCTGGGCAGGTGGGCCTGTGTTGCATAAGAAAGCAGGCTGAGCAGGGGCCAGGGGAGCAAGCCAGTAAGCAGCATTCCTCCATGGCCTGTGCTCCAGCTCCTACTTCCAGGTTCCTGCCCTGAGTTCCTCCTATCTTGGGCTCCCAGATGAACTGTGACCCGTGATATATAAGCTAAATAAACCCTTTCCTCCCCAAGTTGGTATTGGTCAGAGTGTTTTGTCACAGCAATGGAGAGACAAACCAGGACAAGCACTGAATTTCAGTAGCTTGGTTTATGGTGTGATTTATCATTTCCCTTCTCTGTAGAATGGAGAGAGTAGAGAGAGTAGAAGCTCCATCTCTGGGGCACTGAAGATGACTTCAGAACACAATTGGACAGTTTCTGCTGTTCTGCTATAATTAGAGAAGTTTTAATTGAGAGTAAATTCTAGAGATACTTGGCTTTTTGTTAGATAAACCTAGAGGATTATTTTAGCCTTTACTGAGGGATCTTAGTGCCTTGTAGTACGCCTTGCTTTCAGATGTACTAAGGCAGCAGTAGCAGGTCCCATCTGGACCACAGACAGAGCCGCGCTCTGAAGATAGCCCCAGCCTTTGAGGAGTTCCCACGTTCTGTGGTTGCAGCTGCAGCGTCGCTGTCAGAGTTCTGGGGCAGAGCTCACCGGTACAGGCTGGAGGCTTTGTGGTACCAGATAGGCTAAGCATGATAAATCTAATGACTAGACACTTTCTGTTTGCGTCCTTGCTTTGCCTGTGACTGGCAGTAGGTGACCTCTTTGCATTGACCTTTTCTGTTTACTTTGGTTTGTCCTTGGTTCCGTTCTCTTTTCTCACTTAGTAGCTCTCGTTAAGCAGATTATGGAGCTTCTGCATCTGGCCTTCACGTTGTAACTTCTGTCGTGCTTGCTTTCTCCCTCATTATACACTAGGTCATGAGAGCATTCCTTTTGTTTATTTATTAGTTATTACTACTATTATTGTGTATGTGCACATGATGAGTGTGGGGCGCACATGCCGTGCGCACACATGGAAGTCAAGAGAAAAACTTTGTGGAGTTCATTCTCTCTTTCTACCTTTACATGGGTTACAGGGATCAAATTTAGGTTATCAGGTTCACATGGAAAGAGTCTTTACCAGCAGAACCATCTGGCACAATAGAGAATTCTTGAGGTTAGTTTTCTAGCTCATGAATTTGGTATGCACCTGTATCTTCTATTATTTAGCCTTATGTAGGTAATTTCTATAAACTTCATTTATTGTAACATCTTTTTTTTGTCTCCTTGAGACAGGGTCTTCCTGTAGTCCCAGCTGACCTGAACTCACTGTATAGACCAGGCTGGCCTTGAACTCACAAAGATCTGCCTGTCTCTGCCTCCGGAGTGCTGGGATTAAAGGCGTGCACCACCATGCCCGGCATTGTAACATCTTTTTTTAATGGAGGCGCTTACTTTTCCATCTTTAAACTTGGTCTAGGGGCGTAGTTCAGTGGTAGAGCACTTGTCTTGTAAGTGCCAGGCCTGGGTTTAATCGCTAGCATTGGGGGAAAAAAGTTAAGGAAAAAAAAAAAAATCTTAATTTAAATGTCATTTTCTTTCTTCTGGTAATGCTGTTCTTGGCTATTAGTCCATTTCCTTTTTAGAAAAAATCATTTTTAAAGATGTGTATGTGAGTGTGCGTGAATGTATGCTACATGTGTGCAGATGCCCACAGATGCCAGAGGGAAGCGTCAGATCTCAAGCTGGAGTTACAGGAAGTTTTGAGCTGCCTGATGTGGGTGCTTAGAACTAGACTTGGATCCTTTGCACTCTTAACCACCACGCCATCTCCCCAGCCCCAGATACTGGTACATTTCTTATGCTCACATTTCATGTAAGCTCTTGGTTTCCTTCATATGCTAGTCATTTTTAGCTCTCTGTCTATAGTTACATGTGGAGACCCATAGTGTGCTAAACTGTGGCCCCCAGAGCATATTTCTTCTCCGGTGAGAGACCTTCTTGGCAAGTACAGTCTCTGTGTTTGTGCCTAGTCAGAGGCTGGTAGTGTCTGGCATAATGTCAAAGATTTTTCCTATAAAAATGTCCCCTTTGAATCGCTGTTTTTCTGTCTCTTGCTTTAAGAATCAGAGGTAGGCTCTGCTGCCCCACTGGTCAGCTATGCATTGATTTGTCCTTTCCCCTTCTGCTCTAGCTGAGCATATTCAGGAGGTGTGAGAGGAAGTTTATGTTGCTCTTTTTGCTGCTCACATGGGGTTGTGGCTCCCTTGGGTTTGGTTGTCAGTCTGTTCTCAGCTGCTGTCTGTCTCCTCTAACCTTCTACTAACCTGGTCCCAGTTCTGGGACTGTGCCGGTGGTGGTGGTGGTTGTTTTTGGTCATTTCAAAAGAATTTTGAGAGAAGGAAAGAAGCAAACAAATGTATTTTTGTTTTTCAGGTCTAAATTAAATCACAGTGCAGCATTTGTGCAAATACCCATTGGTTTGGAGGGTAATTTTAAAGGTATTGTAGATCTTATTGAAGAACGAGCTATCTACTTTGATGGAGACTTTGGGTAAGATAACTTCTTTTTTTTCCTTTTGAGACGGTCTCCCTGTAGCCCCAGTTGGCCTGAAACTCGCTATGTAGATCAGGCTGGTCTCGATTCACAGAGATCCACCTGCCTCTGCCTCCCAGGTACTGGGATTAAAGGTATTCACTACCATGCCAAACATAGAATAATTATCTTTTTGAAATACGCCTGAGTGTTATCAAGGTGACTTGAGTCACTGAAACTCCAGTTCTTCTAGTATTCATTCTGAGAAGTTCATGTCACTTCCTGGTAATGTTCTCATATCACATTAGAACATTAGAGCATTCATCAGAAGGGGTTCCCCCACTCCCTTTTTGTTTTTTGAGAGAAGGTCTTGCTATATAACCCAGGCTTGACCTGGAATTACTCAGGCTAGCCTCCAACTTACTGTGTCAGCCTCCCAGGTGCTAGGATTATAGATTTGTGCCAACACACTCTGAAAAGAGACTTTCAGTTCCCACTATTTTTCCACTTGTTCACTTCATTCATTCATTCATTCATTCATTCAGTCAGTCAGTCATTCTGTGGTTCATAGAGCAGCATTTCTATATTCTGAGTATTGTGATAAAAACTAGGAGAATATAGGGATTATAAATACTTACTTGACCTACTAAATAAGATTGAAAGATTATAGAGTTAATAAGTAGAAGCTGGGAGAAATGGCACAGTCAGTAAGTGCCTGCCACGCAAGCAGGAGGACTTGTGTTTGAATCCCAGTCCTCATGTAAATGCCAGGTATGGCAGCTCAAGTCTGTAGCCCCAGAGCTGGGGAGATGAGACAGCAGATTTCCTGATTCATTGGCCAGCCAATTGAGCTGAATTGGTGAGCTCTAGGTTCAGTGAGAGGCCCAGTGTCAAAAAACAGGATGGAGAGTGATAAGGGAAGACACTGATGTCAGCAGCCTCTGTGCAGCACACCCCTAAGCACACCACAGACATAAACTAATATGGTAAAGCAAAATGTGGTTTAGAAAATGCAAGAGAAAAGTAGAAACTTGTTGATATGGTAATTACTTGGTCAGCTGTTGAGTGTTATTTGCCCAGTATTGATCAAATCTCAGCATTTCATTAAAAAAAAAAACAAAAAACCACCACCTGAAGGGCTCATTAAAGCACATTCCCAAATGTGCGTGCAGGATTCTGACTCGTTAAATCTAAGGTAGGGAGTGGAATTTGTATTTCTGCAAAATTCTCAAGTGGTGTAGATGTGGCACATATACAAATCAGTCTGAGTAAGACTGCTCTAGACAGTGTGAGGTGTCATATAACTGGGGAAAGATCCTGGTAGCCTGGTAGTTTCTCCAGAGGTCCTTCCTGAGGGATTTTCTGCTAATCTGTCTGAAGCTTATCTGAGTTCTTGAAAATTCTATTAACCATAATCTTACTAGAGCATTGTAAACTGTGGCCAGGGGATTTAGATATCCTACTTTTCTCCTACAAATAACAAACCTGACCACAAAACCTTTTATACAGAATATCCCAATTTGTAGTAAAGAAATTGACAGAACATGCTAGATTCTTCAACCTTACACCAGTTCTTTCCTCTAAGGGCTGAACAGGAAAGTCAAAATCATACACAGCTGAAAGATAGATAAACTTGTTATGTAACGTCAGTCTCAAAGTGTTTCAAGCTTTTTCTTTAAAAATTGGAAGTACAGGACATTCTGGTACAATCCTGTCATCTCAGTACTTGGAGGGTGAGGCAGAGGCAAATTTGAGGCCAGCCTGGGCTACACAGCAAGATCTTGTCTCAAAAAAATATGGGGAGAGGAGGTATTAAGACAAATCACCCTCCCCCAAAAGACAAATAATTCTAATTCAAAATAGGCAAAAAACATTGCCATCTTATAGAAGGCTCTTCAGCTTTCAGATCTTACCTCACTATTAAAATATTCAAGAGCTTGGATGGGTTTCAGACACATTAACTTTGAAAATTAGCTAATATTAATTTGGCTTGTTTAAGTTTTCTCATCTGAAAAATGCAGATAATAGAAGCTTTTTCTTCTGATGTCAAGACTAATACCCAGTTTCGTGTTCTCTCCAATATAGGTGTTAGTTAAATGAATGCTCCTTTAATTTGTGTATACTTTGCAGTTATATGGCAGTAAGAATAGTCCTGTAACTACATGGAAAATAGTTTGAATCCCTTATTTAATTGGTACTTTTCCAACTCATTGTTTTGACTTTCTGTTTTATGTGTTCATTTTAATTTCTAGGATAAGACGAGCCAGTTGATATTAAATTCGGAAGGATTCTATATTATATCACATCATTCTGCATAACTTTATATGCAGAAAAGTAGAATATGATGTCCATTATAAAATCAAGGATACTAGTTTTTTTCTTATAATGGAGTGTTTTGCATTTTGGCTCATCTGTTTATTGGTAATATACTCTTGAGCAAATTATTTTGCCCATTGAAAATTTTTTCCCCACGATTTTGTCTGAATTTTAAAGATTTATATTGCCTTATTTGCTATTTGAGTACAAATATGTCAGAGCTGCTTCTTACCAAAATAATAATAATTAAAAAAAAACCAAGACTTTTGTCATTATGTCTAACTGAACGTCTCTAATGTACTAAAGCAAGACATTTCTTTTCTTAGTCAGCTTGTTCGATATGCTGAGATTCCAGCTGAACTGAGGGCAGCAGCAGCTGACCACCGGCAGGAGCTGATTGAATGTGTTGCCAATTCAGATGAGCAGCTCGGTGAGCTGTTCCTGGAAGAAAAAATCCCCTCAGTTTCTGATTTAAAGGCAAGTACTCCCAAAATAAGTGTTATACAATGAAAAAAGAGTTTTTGTTTGGGGAGGAAAGATATGATGCTTTTATTCTTGGGGTTTATTAATGAAATCTAAGTAAAAGTATTTAATATAATTGAATACCTTTAAAAATGAAGAGATAAGGACTGGAGAGATGGCTCAGCACTTAAGAACATTGGCTGCTCTTGCAGAGGACCTTGATTTGTTTCCCAGCACCCACGTGGTGGCTAACAGCTGTCAGTGAATCCAGTTCTAGGGGATCCAACACTCTTTTTTGACCTCCACGAGCATTATACAACTCAGATGCACTTGCATACATGCAGGTAGTACATTCATACGCATAAAATAAAATACTTAAAAACGAAGAGATGATTCTTACCAACAGTTTTTGAGTAAACATTTCTCCAAAAAAGATACTTGAATTTCAGTACATGAAAAGATGCTTTCTATTACTAATCATAGAAAAATGCAAATCAAAACTACACTGGGATAGCATTCACACCTATGGAGCTTATTTAAAACCAACCAAACAGAAAAGCCAGAAAAACAGGTATTGACTAGGATGTGAACAAATTTAAATCTTTTCGTATTACTATGGAAATGTAATATGGTCAACCACCATGGAGAACAGTATGGCCCAGTAGTCCCCCTCCTAGAGGATTGCCCTCTAGAAAGAAGGGTCTCAAATAATTTAGTTGTACCGCAGCATTTTATAGTAGCACTATTCACAGTAGTCAAAAAAGTAAGACAGGGCAGGGCGTGGTGGTGCACGCCTTTAATCCCAGCACTCAGAGGCAGGTGGATCTCTGTGAGTTCAAGGCCAGCCTGATCTACATAGTGAGTTCCAGGACAGCTGGGGCTACAGGGCGACCCTGTCTCAAAAAGCCCCCCCCCCCGCCAAAAAAAAGTAAGACAGTCCTGGGACTTAGCAGTTAAGAGCACTGGCTGTTCTTAGAGAGGATCCAGATTCATTTCCTAGCACCCACATGGTGGTTAGCAGCTGTCTGTAACTCCAGTTCCAGGGGATCCAACGCCTTCTCTGGCACTGAGAGCATTGTAAATGTGTGGTGCAGTTATATACATGCAGGGAAAACAGTCGTACATAAAAAATTGTTTAAAACGGAGAGATGGCTCAGTGGTTAAGTGCATGTGCCGCTCTTGCAGAAGACCTAGGTTCTGTTCCCAGCACCCACATGGGCTAATAGCTGTCCCTCATTCCATTTCCAGGGGACCTGCCACGTTCTTCTTACTTCCGTGGGCATTGCACAGTGTAGGTGTGCTTGCATGCGTGCTGGTAGTACACTCTCACACAGAAAATAAAAATTAAAATGTTTTTTTTTTTAAAAAAGTAGAGACAATATGCTTGTCAATATATTATGTATAATGAATTATGGATAAACAAAATGTATATAAAATACAAGATTGACATTTTAATAAATGCTACAGTATGAATGAATGTGAAGATATTCTAGTGAAATGAGCTACATTTCAAAAGGATAGCTATTTTATGATTCTGCTTATATGAGGGAATGACAATAGTCAAATTCATAGACAAAAGGCGGGGCAGTGAGCCAGATGTGGTGGCCCCTGCTTGTAACCCTAGCACTCAGGAGGTCAAGTAGGACACTTGCCACTAGTTCAGGGCCATCCTGAGCTACATAATGAGTTCCAGACGATTTTCAGCTATGGAGTGACACTCTGTCTTGAAGAAATAAAAATAAGTCAAATAGTGGTTACCTGGGGTTATAGAGAGTGTTTAATGAGGAACTGCTTTCATTTGGGCATAGAAGAGTTTTGAAGAAGATGGTAGTTGTCAGCATTGAGCTATGTACTTCAAAATGGTAAATTTTATGTATTTTACAACAACATAAAAATATCATTTTCAAATCACTTGGTGTACTTAGCAGAGATCAGGCAAGTAATTAGTGCACGAAAGATATTACATGTAAATGTAAATTCAGTAAATTAAATAAATACACAGGGAAAACACCTATTGTAGCTGAGGCTTATTGGTCTTTGCACTGTTAAACTGGGAGCATATCTTGTAACGTGAGTTCTTTAGTGTTCACAAGGGACTTAGTAGCCCAGCTCTCTGATGAGTGGAGAGTGTGCACATAGTTAGATCTAGCCCTAAATAAAGTCAAGTATTATATCCCTGGAACCACAGAAGTGTGTGGGCTTGCATGCATGTGTATGTGTATGTGCGTGTGTGTGCGTGTGCATGTGCGTGTATCTATCTTAGTTTTATTAAGGAAAGTGTGTCAGTTTTCAAGACTATTCCCATAGGTTTAGTAATTCATTTGGAGTCATAGATCTTAGCACATGGTCAGACTTAATGGCTTTGACTTATTCTAGTGAGAAAAAACTCAGCGAAGGGAAAAGATACATGAAATAGTCTTAAAGAGACCATAGGTGAGCTTCCAGAGAAATCTCATAGAATTAATTCCTTCAGCAAGAGGTTGTGACAGCACCTGTGGAATATTATTTACCAAGGAAGCTCAGTAGAAACTCAGAGCTTAGTCTGTGGTTGTGACACTGGTCATCCCAGCACTGGAAGCTGAGACAGGAGAAAAGAAACTCAGCATCTAAGATTTTTATTGAGATCTATTTAACATGTACCCAGAGTTTGATCTTCCAGGAGAGTGAATGTTTAACACATGCCACAATGTGCAGGCAGCATCCACGGAGCAAACCGTTGTTGCCAGTTCAAAATGATATCCCCGTGTTCCCAGATACTAGCCAAGGATTCCATGCAGGCCTTTCTGTGAAAAGTGCAATCCTTCTATATTCACTCAGGATATGTGGACATACTTTTTTCTGTGTTTTGGTTGGATGCTTACTAGGCACAGTGGGAAGCAGCAACTTTTTAAAGATTTTATTTTTACTTATATGCCTATCTATGTGAATGTATGAACATGGGAGTGCAGTGCCTGCAAAGGTCAGAAAAGGACATCAAATCCCCTCAAGCTGGAATTAAAGTGGTTGTGAGCCACTGGATGTGGGTGCTGGGAACTGAACCTGGGTCCTCCGTAAGAACAGTGTACATGCAACTCCTGAATTATCTCTCCAGCCTAAAACTGCAGCTTTTAAGTTTGAAAATGATTGTTATGAAAACAAGGGAAATATTTGAAAAAAAAGACTTTGGTTGGACTGTTTTAAGGATGACTAATTTGTTCTGCTCTTTTCCCTGGTTTACCTCGTATGATACATTACTCTGTGTCCCTATTTACATGTTAGAGAGAAGTGGAAAATCATTGTGACTAGGTGACCTGTGGGGTAGCCTAATTGGTTAGCTACTAGCCATTTCTGAGTCCTGGAAATAGCAAAAGTGTTTTTAAGGTAATTTCAAACAGCTGCTTACTGTGCATACTTCTCCTTTTTATATCCCTTTTATTGTGCTCAGTTCTTATCCTGGTATTACTGTAACGTTTAGAACCTGTGACTCTAGATGTTTTGCTCTAAGTGTTTTTCTTTTGTTTTGGTGGTGGTGCTAAGGCCTGAACCCAGGGCTTTTCATATCTTAGGCAGTGTTCTACAACTGAGCTCCAGCCCTGCTCTAAGCTTGTGTGTGTGTGTGTGTGTGTGTGTGTGTGTGTGTGTGTCTTTTTGAGACAGGGCCCCCCTGTAGTCCCAGCTGACCTGAGCTCACTATGTAGACCAAGCTGGCCTTGAACTCACAGAGATCCACCTGCCTCTGCTTCCTGAGAGCTGGGGTTATAGGGAGACACTGTCTCAAAAAGACAAAAAGAAAAAAGAAAAAAAATTGTCCACAAAGATTGTCTTAGTTTCATTTCTAGGTTACCATCCATCATCATTAGAAGTTGCAGCAGCAGGAGCTTGAGAAAACTGGTCACATCACATCCACAGTCTAGAGCAGAGAGAGCCATGGGTTGATGCATGTGGGCTAGAGCTCAGCTTGCTTTCTCTTTTTCCTTCAGTCCAGAGCCCACCCCAGGAAATGGTGCTGTGCACACACAGTGTGGGCCTTCCCCTTCAACTAATGTAGTCAGAACAATCCCCCAGAGAGCTTCCCAGCGGCCAATCTCCTGGGTGATTCTAGATTGTGTAGAGTTGACAATTAAAGCTAATCATTGCAAAGGTATACAATAAAACTCCTACCTTGGGGCTGGAGAGATGGCTCAGCAGTTGAGAGCACTGGCTGCTCTTGCAGAGGACCTGGGTTTGATTCCCAGCACCCACATGGCGGCTACAAACTGTCCTTAACTCCAGTTCCAGGGAAATCCAGTGCCCTTTTCTGACCTCCATGGCATTGCACGACAGGGTGCACTCACATGCAAGCAATACATTCATACACATAAAAATAAAAATATATTAAAATATATGTATTTAAAAAAAACTCTCCTACTTTATTCTATAGAACCACTTCTCTGCCCCATTCTAAACAAGTTAGTA